TGAAGACCGCAACAATAAGAGCCAAAACTTGCAAGCAGTGAGGAAATCCACAAAACTTCTGCATAAACCATCCCTGCTGCTCCAAGCAGTTCCCAAATGTCTGAAATTGAAAGGCATCATCTCCATCATCTCATGGTAAAGTTATCAACTCCAATACCCATAAATGAGATCTCAGGCATCCAAAAAAAGCAGGTCAAGCAAGATAAAACATGAAAACCAACCCCACGGTCCAAATTCGAAGACAAAACGGGGTGAAAAAGGCTATCAAAATGCAATTAAGAATAAAACATGAGGAAATCGAACAGATAAACAATAAAAGGAACCAATAATAACGAAGCAGAAACAACAGAGAAATATAAAATCCCTCTATCTTCTGATATAAGGCACGATAAGTAAATCCTCATTAAAAGTATTTCAAGTTGAGGAGGGGGCACCACACCCACAATAATTCATTTGAGACCTTGTTTGGCCAACCAATCAGCAGCAGTGTTACATTCTCTATAGATGAAATTAAATTGCAAAACCAAATTATGTCTTTTAATGAACCCCTGAATCATGTTAAACAGACAAATGACATTCCATGTAGGGAATGTGCTCTTATTTAGAATATTTAACATAGTCATACAATCAGTCTCGATAATTAAAGCATGGCGATGTAAGGTCACAACAATGTGTAAAGCATTCCATAAAGAATAAAACTCAGCCTCTAAAGGTGTTGAGGCACAAACCGGTGAGGCAAAGTAACAAAGGCATCTCCCCGAAGAATTACGAAAAATTCCACCCGTCCCAACAACAGATAAAGTCCAGCTCCCATCTACATTAAGTTTAATCCAACCAACTGAGGGGGGTTGCCACCGTATCAGAAGGGCCTTCCTACCCCTCTGAGGCAAATTAGAGCTTAATGCAATGAGGCGAGAAGCTTTAAGAAAATAAGCAATTATATATGAAGCGGTAAGAGCAGCTGTAGGGGGGAGAGCCTCGTACTTATGAGCGTTCATAGCAGACCAAAGGATATACATATATAATAATAATAATAATAATAATAATTACAAATGACAAAATAAAAGCTAACTCACTATACATATCCACTTAATTTCTATGCGCTTGTACATGCACTCCATGAGGTCCATCTAGTCTATAACTGTTTTTCTGTAATAATATTAACAACTAAGGTTTGGGTTAAAATTACTCTCCGACCAATTGTTTCTGAGTTACAATAAGCTTCATTGTAAAATTTTTTTTGTAAAACTATCGTAACAGTAAAAGAGAGCAGTAAAAAAAAACATTTTCATTTTCTTTCATTTATTTAAGTTGCACTATTCATAATATGGAGTCACTCTTTAAACCCAAACATTAAAAAAATGTATACATTTAGCCATATCCAATGCACCATAAATGCATATAATCATTTTTAGTTTCATTTCCATTTCGTGCACTAGTACATTGCATTTCCCTGTCAGTACCATCCAATGATGACTCCATATGCATGCATAAATCATATTTTTTTTATTTTTCATGCATTTAACTTTTAAAAGAAAACACACACTTCTGCATTTAAAATTAAAGCAGAAAAATAATAAATAAACAAAACTATTGTAAAATAAAACATATTTACTTACTTTTACAGTGTATGAAGTTTGCTGCTCCTTTCCTTGCTTAGTTTAGGCTTTCAGGTGCACCTATAATAGTAATTTAAATCAAATTTGCTTTTTGTTTAGGGCTAACCTTCTCTCCTATTATAGATTTTCTGTGTTTATTTTCATAATTCCTTTATTTCATTAGCTATTATTTACTTATATAACATATATTCATATATATATGTATTATCTAACATATATACATATATATCTAGGAATATCCAATTTGAATTTTATATTAAAGCCTCTAACAATTTTTCTTTTTTCATATCTGCTTAATATCAACTTAGTTATACTGAGTTTTATATTTAAGATTTTTAATTTTCTTTTTAACATGACTTATTAAGAAAATAATAATTCATTATTGAAATCGAGTTTTATACGAGAAGCTGTCCTCTCATCTTTCTGCCTTAGCTTCCTCGTCGAAACCCTAAAATTATAAGAATTAACATTAGGATATTATGAGAATTAATCTATTAATTAGGTTTGCATTTCATAATTTAGTTAAATCAATTTCAATTAATAACTTAAAATAATTTAGTATTTATCTTTTTAAATTTAATATCTTCGAACCGAGCAGGCTACACGTAGAAGGATGTCGTGTGAGCCTTCCTTCCTCTCCAACCTCTCAGGTCAAGCTTCAAACCAGCCGCTTGAGCCCTCTTCCTCCTCCTTCCTCTGTGAGCTACACAACACGCAGAAACAACCTCCTCCTTCCTCTATGAGCCGCACGATAGAGCTTCAGTCTCCTTCCTCTGTGACCTGCACCACAGGGCACTGAAAGCTGCGATTTGAGCTCTCTCTTCTTCTTTTTCACTCGCGTAAGCTGTTCAAGCCTTCCAAGTACTCAAGCAAACTTCCCTTTCTCCTTCCATCTTTCCTTTGCTGCTCGCGACACTC